CCAACATGGTGAAACCCTGTCTCTACTAAATATATAAAAATTAGCTGGGTGTGGTGATGCACATCTGTAAACCCAGCTACTCAGGAGGCCAAGGCAAGAGAATCACTTGAACCCTGGAAGTGGAGGTTGCAATGAGCCAAGATTGCGGCACTGCACTCCAGTCTGGGAGACGGAGTGAGATTCCGTCTCAAAATAAATAAATAAATAAATAAATAAATAAATAAATAAATAAAATAAAATAAAAAAGAAAAGAAAAGAAATTACCACAGCCACCCCAAACAAACAACCATCCTCCTCAATCAGCAGCCATCAACACCGAAGCAAGACCCTCCACTAGCAAAAAGATGAGAACTCACTGAAGGCTCAGAAGATCCTTAGCTTTTTTTTTTTTTTTTTGCAATAAAGTATTTTTAGTTGAAGTATATACATTGTTTTTGTAGACATAATGCTATTGTACACATAATATACCACAGTATGGTGTAAACACAACTTTTATATGCACTGGGAAACCAAAGAAAAATTAAGTTGCTTTATTGTAATATTTGCTTTATTGTAGTTGTCTGGAATGGATTCTGTATATCTTTAAGGTATATCTGTATTCAGAGAAGATTTCATAACAATATTTCACTTAGGAACTACTGATTTTTCAGTTGTCAATTAAAATGATCCAAATCTAGAGGACAAACATATTTCTACAAATTTAAAAAGAAATATTTGAATACATGTATGTTGGTTTCTCTGTGTGTTTGTGTTTGTACATGCATATATTCCCATATATATCTATTTACCTGTGTGTGAGTTGGGGATTTAATATGTGAGCTTATGTATTAAAAATCGTACCATGAACTATCTTCAGTACTGATGTGTTTCTTAGTGAGTTAATAAATTAACTGTGCTGATGTAAAAGGAGCAAAACTTTACCTCTACTCTATAGGGATTTTTGTATTAGCTAACCCGAATAATTACATGAAAACACGACAGATCAACAAAAGAAAAACATACAAGTTTATTTAATACTAGTTTTACTTGACACAGAGCCTTCACAAGGAAATGAAGACTTAAAGATGCAATTAAAGTTGAACACTTAAGTACTGCATTAGGTAAGAGTAGCAAAATGTGAAAATGTAACAAGGAAAAGGGCTGGGGCTAGGGTAGATAATTTGGTGGAGAAGTGCCTGGAAAGGTACTTCCAGGGTTAGTCTAACAATGTTTGTTTGTATAGTTTTTTTTTTTTTCTGCCTCAACTTCCTGTCTCTGATGATAAAAATGATACTTTCCTCTAATACAGGGAGACTCTTTCACATGGAATTTCATCTCCTGGTTTTAAGAGACAGAATGTATGTCCGAGTCATCTTCTTGCACCTGCTGTTTCTCAAGTGCTTGTAACTCAAAATAGTCAACATGCCAACGTGGCATATTTTGGCGTGAATATTCTTAACTCCTTCATTGGCTAACTTGTCTTTGTAGAGAATAGTGTAACTGACATTAATATGAATCAATCTAGTGACCTAGGTTGATGTGCTCTCCCAAAGAAGTAAATTTTGAAAATATCATTGGGGAGTGTGCTTCCATTAAAATGAAAGCAAAGTAAGATTACAATAAATGCCTTTGGCATACAAATTAAATATTTAAATTTAGCATTGTAAGTTTAATATACTTTCTGTAAAAAATTTTTAGTACTTCTGAATTGCTATAATCTTCTGGAAAAAATTAACTATAAAAATACATGAAAACATTTGTATAAGAACATGTAGTTTCCTTTTTGCCTTAAGGTCTAATATGATTCGATAGGGTACCTGTGTCTACTATGTAGAAGATGCTCAAAAACTGTTTGCTAGTTACTGAATGAATAAATAAATCAACCCCTCCAGTTATGTCATTCATGGGAAGATACTCCAGCTTTCTTTTTCAGTGGGTTTTGTTGTTGTTATTATTGTTTTTGTTTTGCTTCTTATCTAAAAGCCCTAAACTGCCAGATTTCAGCTTTCTACTAAACAGTAGATAAGGCAATAGATCATCAAAATAACCTCAAAGAATGAGATAAGGAGGTTTTATGATAATATTTTGTTCCTAGGATTGCTATTTTTTAGGCAAACTCTTTATGTGAACACTTTTTATAGATTATAGTTCATTTTTGGTATTTTAATATTACTCTTAATATTTATTGAGCACTTACTATATCAGTGCATTATATGCATTGAATACAAAGTCTTCATAGTACTTTAAGAGATGAAGAAATTCAGGCTCTCAGAGACTAAAATAACAAATGTCATGGTTGTTCAGTGAATTCTGATATAAATTCACGTAGGGGGCTCAAGAGTCAGTTATCATAACCATGTAACTACCTTGGTATATCTAATTTCTTAAGTTACTATGAAGTATTGAGAGGTGAAGCCGGCTGGGCTTCTGGGTTGGGTGAAGACTTGGAGAATTTTTCTGTCTAGCTAAAGGTTTGTAAACACACCAATCAGAAAAGGTCAAGATGCAGGATAGTACTGTAATTTATACTTCCCTCAGGTGGCCATTTTTCTCCATCAGAGAGAGAATATTGGGGCCAAGCCATAAAGCAGAAAAAAATAAGCTGCCTCTTTCAGGCTTTGAAGGTCAAATTGGTCCCAATGGCTTAGGATGCATTTCAGGGGTGAGCCTGTTGATGCCTGAGTGTTTCCCATCTGAAAGACAAAACCACCCATGGTTTTGGCTTGTTTCTGCCCCTGCCCAAGATCCCGCAACAGTCTCTGGACCCTGCTGATCCGAATAGTTGCACTCCCCAGTGCAGCAGCAGAAACACCTCTTGCCCAAGAACCTTCAACGGTCCCTGAGCCCTGCTGATCGGAATAGTTGTGCTCATCAACACAGCAGCAGAAACACTAGTTTTCCTCCCAGACCACAAGGAGGACCAAGGAAGGTCAGATTTAGTGGCCCTTATGGACGCATTCTTGGAAACCTGCACCCTTGCCTGTCCTGCTAGACCACGAGGAGGACCAAGAAAAATCGGATTTAGTGGCACTTACTGACGCATTCAAAAACCTGTTAGAGTCTTATGCATTCTCATATTAGTACTCGGACTTTACCCTATCCTATAAAGATGTTATGCCCCAAAAATGAAGTGGAGGGCCATAGCCTGAGGGAGGGAAGTGATCTCCAGATTTGGAAGAGTGACGCCTTTTGTCCTCATTTATATGAATAGGAAAGATACCATTTCTGAAGCTCCCCATATCCTGGCTTCAGAAATAACTTTTGTTAGGCCTGCTAGTCTGAGGAGGGATCCTAAAATTCCAGACAGTCCTCTACCATGATGGGGTTTTGGGCAAAAATTATGTCTTTCTGATTGGTGAGCCCGGGTACCTAAAGAAGGTAACAGAGTCCTGAAGTTTATACCACAAATCATTCTTATAGGAGAAACTAGTAAAGCACCAGAGACAGGGTGTGGTTTTTAAAAGCTGGACTAGCCTCAGAGAAGAGAGGTAAGAGGAAGCCTGTCTGACAGGCATTAGGACCCAGGAGGAAAGGGTCAGGATAGATAGGATAGATGGGCGAGTCTCACTTGGGCAACATGAGTTTGAGAATTCCACTCATGGCTGCAGAGTCAACTAACTTGTTGGGACACTGGAGTTGAATGACTTTCCTCTCTGTCAACCCTCGGCTCAGCCCAGAAGTACAGGAAAAGCAGAAGCTGGTTCCAGGCAAACCAACGCTCCCAAATCCTAAGAGTTGGGGGTTTTAGAGAGCCCTTTCCCAGAAAGCCTTACACCCATGTCTTTAGTCTGATGGCCACACTAGTCACTTTTAACAGGCTGACAGGTGCCCAGTATGTAGCCCCCAAATTCTAAGGAAAAATATTACAGAATAACAAGTGAAAGGGATCTGATGGTACTCACAGCTTGGTGATAGTCCCTTCATGGTTACGACCAAAATGTGTCCGTTTATATCCATGTATAGTCAGTGTAAATCAGATCTTATAGAATTAAATGTTTGTCAATTTATTTCTAAAGTCATGTTTCTCTCCAATATACTCTTTATAATGCTTATAATTACTATATAGTTTCTCTAATCTTTAGTTTAATATATATGTTTTATTAACTGTGAACTATTTTCTCTTGACATATAATGATCAAAACAATGCTTTAACATTTTCTTGGCAAGAAGAATATTATCCTCAATAAAAATTCTATAAACGTGGATCTCATTGGGCAGAAAAACTGCTTTCATGATACTTTATTGTAGTTCAAAGAATATTTTCTCAATTACTTCATAACGTATATTGAATACTTTATGCAATGGTCTGAGAAAGAAGTTATGAAGGCTTGAACTGAGTGACAGAGAGAAGGAGATTAAGGAGGTGCATTTGAGAGCTATTTGAGAGATGAAATCTAATGAGTGACTAAATGAAGAAGTACAAGAAACAGGGAGTTGTCACAATGACAAGTTGTTATGTTATATGACAGGAAGTATAGGAGGAAACACAATTTTTTTTTTGCTTTGTTTTAGTTAAAAATAAAACGCTTAATGTAGTTTGGACACGTTGGACATACTCTTGCAGTGAATTGAAGGTAATAGTTTAGGGAAAAAGAGGGAGGGCTAAGTAAAAAATTACAGGTTGAGAATCATTTTAAGTTGGGCTAAAATTAAAGCTAATCAATATTAGAGAGTATAGAGTAAGAACTGAAGACAAAAGATTTGAGTGATTTTATTTTAAGGTTGTTTAATTTCAATGTTTTAAAAAAAATTACTAAATAAAATTTTGCTTCATGAGCAAATAGTAGATATTTTTCAGGCTCAAGACATATATATTCTAACCAATAAGACAGCATGGTCTTTTGAGATCTCTAGCATGTACAAACAAGAAGGAATCATAGGCAAATTAAGAAATAAATTTTTAGATTGATAAACTCAATCATGTTTTTATAATATATTCTGAATGTGTATAAAGTTAACATATTCAATAAGTGTTCAACTCAGTTTTCCATCACTGCATAAAAACAAAACTAACTTACAACTTAAGATGAGACCCATCATTTATTTGAACATGATTTTGTAACTTGCTAGCATTCATTGGAGAATGTCTCATGAAATCATGGTCCGGGACCCTTGAAGAGGGCTGGAGAATCCATTTCCAAGATGGTTCCCTCACATGGATAGCAAGTTGGTGCTGGTTACTGATTGGGAATTTAGCTGAGATCTCAATTGTCTTCCATGTAGCCTTCCTGATGTGCCTACACGATATTGGATTCTGAAAACAAAAAATAAACATATCTATTTCTCTTAATACATTTTCTGTATTTTATTAGTGAAAACAGCTCAAGGTCCTGTCAAGTTTCAAAAAGTAGAAACAGAGTTCCCACATTTTTGTGCTGGTAGTAACAAAGAATTTGAGGCCATTCTTAATCACTGTGGTCTTCGTTCTGTCCATAAATTATTACCAACCCTCATACTTCATCACATCCTCCCCAAATCTTCAATATTGCATACATTTTGGCACTAAAATCCAGAATCTCATCGTTTAAATCAGATTCAGGTGCATATGGCAAACTTCAGATGCTGCAGTTCCTCTAGGTTTAAAAATCTGCAAACTAAAGGAAAAAGTTAGTTACTCTATGCACACAACATACTATAATGTGTAAAGGCCAGAGAAACAGAACATTCAATTCAAAAACAAGAAAAGATAGAGGCATACTTTGATGACTAATCCATAACTTGAAAAATTGGGGCATATGCTGTCAGTTCTCAATATAGTATAGTCATTCTTCCTAGAAGTGTCTCTTGGTTCTACTTTTTGGGCGCTTGGTTTATTACTTTGATTTATGTTGGCTTTTCTATGAGATGTGGTACTTGAGATTGCAGCTTAGGAGCTTTCCCAGTCTGCTTCTTGCTCATAACATACTGGGAGTCCAAAGTTCTCTTCACTGTGAACTGATGCTAAGATTTCAGTGCTATCCATAATAAATTCTTTAAAAACGAGGCCTCCTGTGTATAAGATTATATATAATCTACCAACTTAAACAAAATCCACACCTGTTGATTTCTTCAACACAGGCTGTCTCTACCTTGTTCTGAGAGGTAGGATAATATTAGAAGATATCCTTCAGATATAAAACCTGCTATTTAGCAGATAGAGTGTAAGGGATACAACCTGGTGATTGTTACATTTTTGTTTCGCCAAGAAGGTCTGTACGACACCTCCTTCAGTCTTCCTGAGGTCTTAGCAATAGGTGTGGCTTAGTTTGTTTTGTGCTTCTATAACACGCCTGAGACTGATGATAAATAATTAACAGAAAATTATTAGCTTACAATTCTGGAGGCTGGGAAGTCCAATATTGAGGTGTTGGGCTCTTGCAAAGACCTTCTTGCTGTATCATCACATGGGAGAAGGCAGAAAGACAAGAGAGAAAAAAGGGTCAAATTCACCCTTTTTATAACACCATTAATCCCACTCATGAGGGTGGAACCCTTATGGCCCAGTCACCTCTGGAAGATCCGATTCCCACTTCTCAATGTTGTTACAATGGCAATTAAATTTCAACGTGAGCTTTGGAGGACACAAACATTCGAACCATAGCAAGGTGTTAGAGCTACACTCTTGAAGGTGAGGCCACGAGTTTGAGACAGGAAGTATAGGAGGAAACACAATTTTTGTTTTGCTTTGTTTTAGTTAAAAATAAAGTGTTTAATGTAGTTTTGACACTTTGGACATACTCTTGCAGTGAATTGAAGGTAACAGTTTAAGGAGCAAGAGGGAGGGCTAAGTAAAAAATTACGGGTTGAGAATCATTATAAGTTGGGCTAAAATTAAAGCTAATCAATATGAGAGAGTATAGAGTAAGAACTGCCTTGGATTTGATGCTTGTCCTGAGCCTATTTCTTACATTGTGAAATTTTGCTGCCTGGAGAGGTTAAGAATGAGAAGAAGTTTTATTTCCAAACCTAGTACATTAGGCTTTTTTATTTTTTATATTTATTTTATTTTATTATTATTATTTTTTGAGTCAGAGTTTCACTGTGTCACCCAGCCTGGACTGCAGCGGCGCAATCTCAGCTCACTACCGTTCTCTGCCTCCTGGGTTCAAACAATTCTCCTCCATTAGCCTCCTGAGTAGCTGGGATTACAGGCATGCACCACCACCCCCAAGTAATTTTCGTATTTTTAATAGAGACCAGGTTTCTCCATGTTGGCCAGGCTGGTCTCAAACTCCTGACCTTGGGTGACCTGCCTGCCTCAGCCTCCGAAAATGCTAGGATTACAGACATGAGTCACCATGCCTGGTCATTTTTTTATAGTTTCTCTAAATTCTGCTTGATAACTGAACAGTTCTGTGTTTTTAGCTTATCCCAATTCTCCGGCACTTTACTGTGCAGTTAAAAGAAGCCAGTTGACACTTGAACATTTTTCCCAGACATCTCTTTAGTCATGAATTCATTAGGTTCACTTTCTATCTTCAATATTATCAAAGATTATGATGTTGCTAAATCTTCCCCCATCCGTAAAAGGAGAGCTCCTATAATAATTTCCTCACTCTGTTTCAAAACCTTCATTAAGTGGCTCCTTGAGGCTCTTTGGGCCTCTGCCCACCTCTCCCCGCAATACCCATTCTAAGGACAATGCCACAGATTTTGAGTTTGTTGACAGCGCCATCACACTTAGTAGTTTTGAATTCTGTTTTGGTTATCTATGGCTATATAACCCAAATCAACCAAATTCTTAGATGCTTAAAATACTAACAATCACTTATTACTTCATAATTTTTTAATTTGTGTAGACTTGACCGGGACAGCTTATCTGTTCCAAATAGTGTCAGATGGAGAATTCATTCCCAAGATGGTCCGTTCATATGGCAGGCAATTTGGCACTTGTTTTTCTCTGGGAGAATTAATAATTCTCTGCACTTACTGTTCTCTGTAGTTGCTTCCATTTCTTCCCAGATTGACGGCTGAGTTTCATGAAGAAGGAAAAAGAAAGGATCACTTCTTTTAAAGACTGGGATTATATCTGGTATTGTATCACTTTTATCATGTTCTATTTGTCAAAACAGATTCAAGTGTATGGACAAATAGACTCACCTCTTTGTGGGGAAAGATAATTAATAGGCTTCTTAAATCCACTACAGTGTTTAAATTTGTGGCAATTCAACATTTCCCATTACTTCCACTAATGTTACAGACAAATATATATATTTTTCAAGCAATTTTCCTCATAAGTAGAGCCAAAGAGAATAAAATTGGAAATCCAATTTTAAAGAATTTGACATTTTCTTATGAATTTTGTATAACTCAGCAAAGTCTAGTAGATAAGCACTTACTTAAAAATTTTAACATATATGTTTATGCATGATAATTTAAATTACTATTTGTCATTGATTGGTGGAGGGAAGTGATCCAATACTGTTCATCTATGTATTTTGCCCACTGCAACCTGGTAATTTGGTACTCAGGTAAGGCATTTTGTGCCATTCAAAATCATATTCATTAAATAATTTTTCAACAGTTTACTTCATAGGAGTTGGGGATAAACTGCCATTCTGTTAAAAATTCTATATACAAATAGCTTCACATAACTTACTCGCACTAGTCAAAAAGGATCACTTAGAGAAAAAAGCAAAACTTTTTGTATATCATTATGCTTTTCACTTTAGAGTTTTTTTTTTTTTTCTCATTCGGTGTGGAGTTTTACAAAACATGTCATTATAATAATGCTTAGAAAATTCCTGAGAAAGTTATATTTTATTGTTGGCTAGATTAACTACCGAGATTAAAGTCAAATTACTATTTTAGTAGTGAAGTGTTTTTACAGAACTGTTTATGTGCATGAATGTGCATGCAATGATTCTAGTAATTTTCAAGGCACTGCCTTGACTCCCCAAACCTAAAATTACATTTGCTCAAATTGTAGTGAAATGTAATCTCCTTCTCATTAATTTTAACCAAAGAGACAGCTATTTTATTTCTAAAACCATTTCCCAGAATTTCTTATCTCCTTTAGATTATGGATTAATATTTGCATGATATTATAATCAAAAGTCTTATATGAATAACTCATTTTTTGAAACAGTCAAGACATGTTAAATAATTATCATAAAAAAAGAATCCTCAAGTTTACTGAAACAAGCTTTGTTTTCTTATAATGCATAATAAAAAAACTGAAACTAAGTGGCTTTTTCTTTATAATCCCATTTGAGCATTGCAATATAGTTTAATTTATAAGGACTATTAAAACTTTAATTGAAATTGAAAACTCCTGACTTTAGAACATTAACTCACCTGAATGCTGAAGCAATCTCTATGTTTCAAAGGGCAATTATCCTGTGTGTCAATTCTTTTTGTGGTAGAGGTAAAAGTTCCATTCTTCTCCTTTAAAATATAGTTGGTGTGCTTTTTTCCCACAAATATGTTACTCCAAATTACAACTAAACCTTTTCTCAGAGACCTAATATCATTTTAACAAATTGAGGTTTCAAGCAAAATTTAAGAATTTGGTTTTAATAAAGTTTCTGTCATTAGAACTCAAGGTATACTAACAGCACAAAAACTTCAAGTACATTTGATTCTAAGCACTTTACAAATAACAGGAAATCTTCAGTTTTAATACATCAATATAAACCTTATTGATTCATAGGAAAAATAACATTTTTTATTAATGTAATGTAATTACATATTAATAGTAGTTGTAGGCAAATTTACTTTTTACAATCTGAGTATAAATAATAGTGGAATCGTTTATTATATCTAGTTTTAACTTTTTGTGATTTTATTGTGTATTGCAATTATCTCTGAGGCTCAAGATGAAAAATGTTTATCTCTTAAATTTCTTTCAGAAATTGAACTCATCAGAAAAATTAAAAAGCAATTGTTGATAGGACTCTGACAAAAAGTAAGTAGGAATTTAGAGAGCGGTGATTCTCAATCTTTTTAGGTCATAGATCACTTGAATAACACATGTGTTTGTTCAACACATACATAGCTAGTGCTGTGACCTACCTGAACCGGAGCTGACTTCTTGGGTCTGCAACCTTGGCAGTCACATGTGCTCAGAAGTACTCCACACATGGTTTAATGCTCTGCTGTTGCTGCCTTGAAATTCTTAATAATTTTTGAACAAGGGATTCCACATTTTCATTTTGCACTAGACCCAGCAAATGTTGTAGCAGGTCCTACCTGGCCCTGAGTTCTGCATGAGCTCTGAATGTAGAGACTCCCGGTCTACTTGAGGAGAGACATAATAAAGAGGTAGACAGATGAATCTGTAATTAAAAATTATAGTGGTTAGCATGAAATAAAAAAAATGAGGACATTGTTCTTTTAGTCTGTTTGTCCTGCCATAACAAAATTCCTGAGACTGAGTAATCTATAAACAACAAAAATGTATTTCTCACAGTTTTGGAGGCTGAGAAGTCCAAGAACAAGGCACCAGCATCTGGTGAGGGCTGTCCTCTGCTTACAAGATGGTGCCTTTGGAGAGTATGAATACTGTGCCCTCACATGATAGAAAGGATGGGAAGAAACAAACCCACACCTCCATAGTTTTTATAAGGGCCCTACTTTCATCCATGAGGGCTCTGAGTTTCTGACTTAA